CAGGTGTAACTCTTATATAGCGAAAACGCTATGTTAAACGCTGTATGAAATAGTCGATTTTATGACTTCTAGGAAAATGTCTGTAACTTTTCGATGCAAGGTCATACAGAGTTGTGCGAAGTCTTATATTGATCAGAAACGTTTGCTCTACAAAGCTGTGTTTTCAGAAAAACTTTAATTGCATAAATATCCTGGAAAAAAACATTATTTGAAGACCCATTTTTTCGAGGCTCTTAGAAAACCTGCTCAAAATCCCAAAAAAACCACTTTTGTAACCAAAAGCAACAATACAGATTCTGGCAGTAGACACTTCAGGCTATCTTTTCATGTGCGTATCTCAAAACCGATTTTTTGACCGATTATCAAATCCGAACTAGAATTTTGCAGTATAGATCTCAAATGAGTGATTCGTGCCCGAATCACAAAGAATTAATTATTGCGTTTGGATCCGAGAATTTTCTATGAGCGGGTCCGAGTACAAAAAAATTTAACCAACCGGGTCCGGTCCGGGTTTGAATAAATTTTTATCATCGGGTCCGGGTCCAAAAATCATGGACCCGATGGGCTCTAGGGGGGCCTCAATTAATACTGATATGTAAGCTGCTTTATTTATAAAATATTTATCTGCACTATTTTTGTTTTTTTATCTTTTGTTGCTGGTGATAGTGATGATTTATTGTAATAACCACCATGATGATTTAGTGTAAAAACCACTGTTGCTCTGTTCCTTCGTCATTGTTTGATTTAATTTCATATTCACGATAATCTCGCAGTAGCAGAACACCGCGGATAATGTTCATACGTTCCAGTGCTTTCCATCATTGGAACGACGTTTACTGTCGCTTAGAGACAGCGTATAATCATATTTCCGTAGCACCCCTTAATTTGCGTCTTTTTGTCAAATCTGAAATGGTGTTGTTGATCTTCGAGTGCCTTGAAATACCGAATTGTTCATTCTTTTAAAGATTCTAGGAAACTCGAGAAGGTTTCATAATGTTCTGGAAGACTCCTTGAGAAGTATGTCTATGAAGAGGAGGATACCTGTAAATAAATGAGTAAATTTCTCACCATTGAAAACGCAGCTAGAGATTTTGTATGCGAGTTTTGCAAAAGAAGACATGTACACGATCATGAGCAACGTGAGTTGCGTAATTGAGCTCATTCTATCTATTTTGTGCCTAAGTAAATTAAAGAACTTTCGCTAAAATGATCCACACTTCACAACTTCTCAAGAAATCTTTCTGCTAGTTGCTCACAACACGCTCCGTACTCGAACCATTTCCAATAACCTTGTTCTCCCTCTGAAGTGTTCAATATGACCAGTCAGATGAGACTATCAATGTGAATAACAGAAGTGACAAACGCTTTAAGGGCATTTACTGGCGAGTTAACATTTTCGTTTTGTCATTTTTATCTTTACCTGATCATCTTACTGGCTGAAGTAGTTTCTATAAGTTAAATATATTTTGGGATTCAATATCTGTCTATCGGACGGCAAAAGAGTCTGAGAGAAAACTGCAGAATTGCCCGGTTTCTCCGACGAATGTTTCAATCGAGCTGAAAACTTTTCCACAGGTAGTAGGCACAGATTGGAGCGACTAATTTCTTTTGTATTAGAAATATACTTTCGTTGGATTTTTGGGAGATCCTACGAAAAACAAACACGCCGGACAAAAAACAAGTAAGTTTCAGAATACTCTACATATTTTGTCCTGTTTATTGAAAGGAAACATTACAGAGACTCGAATCTATGATAACTTTTCGTCTACTGCCAGAGATTTTCACTTACACTTATAAAGTCGGCCAAAATATATTCTTTTATACATTGTAGAGTTGATCGCTTGTGGTTATCCGAGAATTCTCCAGCTGTTTTTGTTATTGTCACAAAGTATACCATCTTTCTTGAAGATATTCTGACAAAACAACTGAATTTTGAGCGCTTACCAATGCCAGTAGTGACCTCGATGATACAAACTTCAGCGTGTCACTGAATGTCGCAGAGTTATAAAGCACCTCTGACAGAGCCGTTGTGTTGAAATGAGTGTAACGGGTGTTACAGAAAGAATGGCGTAGTTTTTACTTTCAGTTTTTCTCTCGTGTCTTTGAATTCACAGAGCTCATCTTATTACCAAAAGATTCCACATTCATTTCTCTACAAAATGGTGTATATAGAAGATGACCGTAAGGTTTGAGACGCTGTCTTAATTGAACAAACATTGAAATATCCGAAAAAATTCAAAAATTAAAATTTTTTCCGACGATAACTTTGAAGTTTGAACTCCATTTGAAAGTGATTGGAAGAAGATAGCACATTATTCCTTAGAACGTTTAGATATCCTCTTTCGGATGGCGCAAATCTCATTTCCTTCGCGTCGAGCTGATGTGGTAAAAATGATTGGTTAATAACTGGCAGCCATTACTGAACAAAATGCGCTAGTTTCAACATTTCCACTATTCCGAAAAGTTACATCAAGCGTTTCGCATGTGAGTCGAGCAGACCAAACATTTGTCTTCAAAATGACCCAGGAATAAGTCTGATTGGTTCAGTTTTGTTTGAGCAATATTCATTTTATAAATAGCCCCAAAATGCAGGTTGAAAAAGCTGATAAAACGGTCATAGAGCTTTTGCAAAAATCTTTACTGAAAACACAGAAATAACAATAGAAAATCCGCATTATAGCTACTCAGTAGAGAATTTTAAGGGCTATATTTTGGCCTACTCGCTCTAAACACAATGCATACGTTCAACTTTATACTGACGAAATACACTTTTTACTGTTAAATTTTGTAAGTTTTTCGGATATTTCAATGTTTGTTCAATTAAGACAGCGTCTTAAACCTTACGGTCATCTTCTATACACCATTTTGTAGAGAAATGAATGTGGAATCGTTTGGTAATAAGATGAGCTCTGTGACTTCAAAGGCAGAGGAGATAAAACTGAAAATAACAACTACGTCATTCTTTCTGTAACACCCGTTAGAATCGATTTTGATATTCTTTTTTACAAGTTGAGTACTCTTTAAATCAGTCGATGACTTCTGACTTCAAGAACTCTTCTCTTTCTCTTCTATAACAGCAACTCGTGACAACCGTCAACTGACATTTGAGCGATCGACACTTGTTAGATAGGATAGAAAAAATCTCCTCACGTTTTTCATCACGTTGTTCACGTTGACATCCTTCATCTCTTGGTCATACATTCTTTTTTCATCACACCACTTCTGTCGTACCATTTATTGTGTCATTTCTTCACGTAGTTTTACATTTCTCTCTCTATTATTGTTGCATATATATATGACTATATTTTGATGTGTTGAGCAGGATTGAGTAGTTATCTTTTTTTGTTAAATAAACACATGAGGATTATCCCAGCTTGACGATTTAATTGGGTTACATACTTGTTACGCAACAAGTACGTAACCCAATTAAATCGTCAAGCTGGCACATACACGGAATACTACAGATAAACAGGCCCAAGCGAATTATCAAGCCTATCAACACAGCTTAGTAGCTCACCAAGAACAAAAAAGGCACCAAAAAGGAGCAGAAGAAATGACAGTCAATTGGACCAATCAAATATTACTGAAGGGTATTCAACCGGCGGAACAATTTACGTGTCGTGACGATCAAGACCCAGTCGCATGGCTACAAAGTATCGATGAACTATTTATTGCCACTGGTGTCCAGAAAGAAGACAGAAGAAAATTACTTCCAATGTATTTTAGTGATGATGTTAAAAAATGGTACCGAAACCCTAGACAAGAACTTTTTGCTAAAACTGATAGGATTCTTATAAGAATCTTATCAGTTTCTTATATAAGATTGTTTAAGATTTTCCATCGACAGTCGTAAGTGTCTTATAAGATATTCATAAGAGGCTCGTAAGAAAAACATAAAAAGGATCAAAAATTCTAATGTTGTTAATATGTACTAGAAGGTATCTTATGAGTCGGCTTTTACGATTTCTGTCATGATTAAGTTACTTCTACTTGCTCTCAAATCTTTTGGGCTAGTAAGTGGCGTAACGGTCATTTATTCTGATGACTTGTGAGTCGTATTCATCGAACTGTTATTTTTAAAAATATAAAACTTTTACTAGGATGTATTAACTAGTTAATCGGGCAATATTTTATGCGTAACTTACATTCCTATCTAAAATAACTTGATATAACAACATAAACAGAGTAAGCACTTATAGCCTAATGGTTAAGATCGGGCAGCTGAATGAAAGACTACGAGTTCGATCCTCGTTAAGTGCGATTTATCTTTTTATGAACCTCGT